AGAGCCCGGCAGGACGCCCCAGCTAGTCAGAGGCTGCCTCCACTGAGCAGGCACAGCAGAAGGAGGTAGCTCTTTAGCACAGTGACAGGGTGTGGGCCCAGGCCGAATGATGTCTCTCGCACCTTAAAACCATGCCCACCCTCAGCAGGTTTTTGGGAGAAAGAGCTCAGCATCACTTATGAACACCAGGACCAAAGAGGGATAAAATGAGATTTTGGGGATGCAATGGCAGAAGGAATATTTCTCTACTGTAAAATTTCTACCAAGGCAGGAAAGATGTATAGAAGGAAAACATGTATGGACGGATACCTGCTAAGCATCCCAGGGCTGGACTGTAATTTTAGGGGAGGTCATGCTGTGAGGCTCACAGCGAGCCAGGGGTTGCCAGCTGCAGAGGCCTGCAGGGCAGCACGGCAGTGAAGACACAGTCCAGCCAATGAGGAAGCTGAACTGGAAGAGAAACTCCAGCTACGAGGTGCCATTTCTCAAGCAAGCAGCTGAAATGGTGAACTGAAACAGAGCTGGTCACAATGAAGTTTTATACACTCATGTACGCAGTCCATCTCTCACGGCTATAGTGCCCCTCCGCACAGTGCCAAGCTAAAAAATCCCCTCTGATCTCAGGTAATGCAAGCTATGAATGCCCACTGAGTGAATGCATGTGTGAATTACCATTTGGAAATAGGACTATTGTTTTAAGTTCTGTTTTGCTTAATTATTCATTATTTACCACTTAAATTATGCATGAAAAACCTCAAGTACTTTTGATTTTTCTTTAGGCATTGTAGACTCTAAGGCATGGTAAGAAGGTTATATAGGGAGGAGTCTCCTTCTTCCATTAGTCGTAAGAGAAACAAAAATTACAATTCAGCACATTATTTTCTGCCTCTTTAGACAATGATTTAAAGTCAATTGAGTACAATTACTTCTTACCTAGCATATTTACTGCCGCATAAAACCTTCTTATATGACAAAGAAAAGGTGCCTAGGCACTTTTCTCAGCAACAGTATTGCTAAACATTTTTGATGAGCCTTTTTAAAAAACATATTTTACCTTTCAGTTGCTCACAAATTAGTTTGGCAGTGATTTGGGAAAGCACTTAATGCGTCCCAGTGTGCTTCCTTGAACAAGGAGAAACTTTGCTTAAGTGCTTTTCTGAACAGAATCTTGTTTTGTTTATCGGTCCATTTATCTGAATTTAAAGTATAGATTATTTTGATACTTCAAAACATTTTGAAGCAAAGCCACACAAGAGCAGCAGACGCCTTACTCCCCTCATCTCTCTATCTGCAACATCCAAGCTTCTTAACACATCCCTACCCTATCCTTCTTTGCCATGCGTCCTGGACAAGACAGAGCATGTGCTGTGGTCATACAAGAATTATGTGCACTCCTTTCAACTGGTTGGCCAACGTACAGGTTAACTGGTCAGTCAGCTGTGGTCTCTAGTCCAGTAAGCAAGCCTAGTACACTGGAATCCTGCTTCTCAGCTTCCAGACTCAAGCAGCTTGGTGACTGTAAGCGGTCTCACGGCCATTCTTCACATACCTGCTGTGAGGATGTGGTATCGCTGAAGCCTTACCCTCCGTTATCAAACTGCTGTTGGCTAATGGGTTCGCTGTTCTTTCGAGTGCCTGACAGACAATGTGTCTGCATGAAACCCAGGGGGAAAAATATATGGATATCACATTTATAAATATTTGTAAGAAACTAACTAAAAAAGTCAAGAATACTGCAAATGGGTTTTATATTACTTAGCCAAATAAATGTTTGTAAGTCTTCTTCAGTGTTGGTCCAGATCAGGTAACGTTTTAGTCATCAAATCATAAGCTGGTTTGCAGGATGTATACAGTTTGCAAGGCCTTCTCCAAATAAATATTGCTTTCCCTTAGGTTGATTCCTGTCATTGTTAGAACTGAGAAGTGTACTTATTCTTTTTGATGCTGGTGGTTGCTTGTGGAGGTGGTTAAGATTTTAACGTTAATGTGATAGAATTCCTGCATGAAGATGAGGATTAATCACTTCGAATTATTTCACTTCTATTAACCCATTTTGTCTTTGACATTCTCAGAGTCCTCTGCTCACTAACTGGAGTAGAATACAATTCCTCAGTTTCTATGGATGCTCATGGTACATGACATGAACTTAGCTAGCACAATACCAACAGTGATACTTTCCCCCCAAAAAAGGAAAGGAAAGGAAAGGAAAAACCCCTAAAGAACAAACTAATAATTTTGCATGCTTAAAGAAGAATCTCTTAATTCCAATAAACTACAAAAAGAAAGCGCAATTAGAGGGAAGTAAATCCAATATGCTTAAAAGAAAATTAAATGCTAGCTCCTTAGCTACCGTAAATTATTGTAGCTACCGTAAATTATTGTAGCTCACAGAATGGTCTTGTTTTACAGCAGCTAAAGATATTGTTCTATGTTCTTAACAATAACAATTGAAGAAGTCAATTTATGTAGCTATAAAGAAGTCTATCACTTCAATGCAATGCATATAGCATAAAAATTGTTAAAACATTATGCATGAGAAGATTACATATAAAAAGATTATATGAACATGGGATAAAATTTTTGTCAAACTATAATTTATTACATATATTTTATATTAGACATCCATCAAAAGGACAATTGTTTTAAAACAATGATATTTTAAGATTTTTTCTGCTAATGCAATCCTTGTACACATCAAGATATCGATTTGTTGTCACTTCGTACTTATACTCTCATCTTGCATCTTTGGCTTATATGAACATGTGCATGATCCTGCAACAACGTGCAGTAAGGGCAGCCTGTTTCAGGGTAAGTAAGATTATAAGGACAGATTGCAACAGTTTACTTTTTGGTGGTACAGCTAGAAATATTTGCAACATAAAGGCAATTATGTAGTAAATTTGGTAAATATGGTAAAAGCTAAACTATAAATGGGTGGCAAATAGTTGGCTAACAATAAAACTAAAAAGGTCACTAACCCTTTTATCTGGAAACTTCAATGTGATTTACAACCATGAATAAAGTCTCTGCAATGTTCTGAAGCTTTAATTCTACAGCTTCCTTTTCTCAGGTCAGATTCCCTAGCTGACTCCATACTACCACTTTTTATTCATGACTAAGAGAAGATCACAAAAAATGTTTATTGTTGTCTCAATAATTTCCATCAACTAAACTCCATTATTTTCTTCCAAGACATACTTCCTGTGACATTATCTTTCGCTGTCTTTTAAATATACGGTAACCATTTTTATGATTTTATACAACTATACTGTTTCTAAGCCTACAAAAACAGTTTTATCTTTATAACTACATTTTATAGGTGCCTCCATCTCATTTATTACAGTTCTTCCTCCTGCAAAGCCGTCTTTTTATATCCAAGTGAACTGACCGATATTCTGGAAATCTGGCCTTAAACTCTCCGAAGCCTTTCCAACAGCGTTCTTAGTCATGTAAGAATTATTATAGGGAATGCAAGCAGCCTACACTCTAGAGTTTACCGCCAGTGTGCCACAAATTACCAAACCATTGGTCTTTTCCCCTCTTTTGAGTGAACTGCAGTGAAAATCTATATCCTTATACAGGGAACAGACAACAGCAAAAGATATATTATTTTTTAAAAGCCTACCACTTAACTACACTCCACAAGCTGTGTTCAGACAGCTGCTAGACAGTTTAAAAATAAACCGTATCTCTGGTGACCTCCACCTGTGCATGGCTGGTGACTTGCATTTAGTACCATGTATCAAAACACCTAAAAATAAGTATACACCACTTTTTTTCCTCTAATGAGAAAGGAAAAGAGAGACACAAGTTCACAACGTGATATATAACCTACAAGAGCTTAAGACAATTCTCAGTGCCAGGCATATATAATTAGGCATGTCATATAATTAGCTCTTCTGTTACTGCCATCACATGAAGAGTGAGTGAGTAGTTTTGCTGCTTTTCCTGATCCACTTACATGAATATTATTAGTATTGTCATTATCATCATCACTATCACAGCAAGCTGTTAATTTTTGTATGCCCAAAGGCAAACAAGTCATTACTTACTCATCAAGAAAACTACCTACCCCAGATACACAAGTAAGCAGATTTTTGCTAGGCTGATCACTGGAAGAACCCAGCGCCTTCCTACAATTGGAATATAATGGGATCATCAACATTAGCACTTATTGCTAAGTACATTTATATTACCAAAGCTCTGCTGCTCGAAACTCCAGTTTTGCTAGTTTAGTTCCTGTTCTACATCGAACAGTTCAGCTACACCTACAATGTCACTGCACAGTAGGTGAAAACATTTCTGGAACAAATGTCAGCAAGGGATAATTGTGAAATAACCTTGTGATCTACAGTAACGCAAGCGAGAAGACAGCACTACTATAGATTGCTTTGGCACTGCCCTGAACATGAAGTTGGCTATTGAAATGGCGGGGGAGAGGCCTGGGGCGGGGGGGCTCAAAAACAATAGTGCACAGTGGACAGCTAAAAGAATTAAAAATTATTAGGATACCTCACTGAAGGAAGTGGCTCATAGAGATGTTGAAATATCTTATAGTAAAGCATGCTGTATGTAGGGCTACCAAACATGGATACTAAAGAAAATAGGTCTGCTTTCACTTCACCTTTGAACTGTGAAATTGATGGATAAATAGTGCGATGTTTCAAAACTGAAATCCTAGGGAAAAACTTGCAGAAGGACTGGACACAGACCCCAGTCCTGATGAACCACTGATACAGGCACTCTCAGGTAGTTAAAGCATATACTTAATTTTAAACAAAGATTTTTTTTTGTGCCCTGTGTAATGGGGGTCTTGGGCCACTGACAAAAGCTTTTAGTGCCCTCTGTCAGCAGAAGTTGAAAGTCCTCACCAAGAGCACCTGTAACAACCGGCACTACACACTTAGTTGCTGACCCAGACTCCCAATAAATAAATGATAAGCCTCATATATGCACGGACCATAGGGGCACAGGAAGAGATGTACAGTAACAGAACTTACCATCTTGGTCGGTGGTAACTGTGATAGCTGTGAACTGCTTTGGCGAGAAACTCAACTCAGAGACGCCATTCATGGCTTCTATTTCGAAGGTGTAGTTCACGTGTGACACAAAGTCGAGCACAGTCACAGAGGAGTTGATCAGACCTGTGTGCCGGGGGATGAAACGGATACCTCCACCACATATCTCGCACTGGCTGGTGTCTGACCCACATTTCTTACAGATTACACTGTATGTGAGATCTTTCCTTCCCCCAGTATCACTAGGTGGGCTCCATTCCAACATGAGAGCTGTTTCATTAATATTAAAAATTACATTCCTCGGAGCAGAAGGTGGCCCTGCAGAAAAGGAAGGGAAAGTCTGTTAAGCCACAGTTGTCTGTATGCCACAGAATACCAAAAAAACAATCTTAAGGCAATTATTTGCAAAACAGAAGCTAAAAGAGTCATGTTTCAGTAACAAATTCAAGGGAAAAGTCCAGACTTACCTAAATTACCTAAATTAAAATCCTTGAAAATTATGCAGAGAGAATAAAGAGCAGCGATCATACAGAGCTGAAAAATCTAAACAAACCAGAAGCAACTCAGAAATAATTTAAGGTAACATAAACATGATCTGGGAAAGTCAAACCTAGATGTGATAACAAAAAAACTGTTCTAAATATCTACTCACCTCATGGGATACCGGAATAGAACTTAAAACCAGGAAATAAATTTTGCGGTTAATGTCTAGTAAGGCAGGCTTTGCTGATACTTCTAATCTTTAATGTTTCATAAGAGTTAAATTCACTACGTCAGTAAATAGATAACAGATAATAGAAAAAATAAAACCGTTTGCATTTATTCTGCAGTGCCAGATATTTTTATCTGTCCTTCACTGCTATGATCGCCCGGGATTTCTTTGCTGCTGTTCAGTAACAGAGAGCTGGCAATGGGCTAAGAGCATTAGGCACAAGAGACAGTTTACCAGTTTTTCTTTCCCGCGTGGCCACTCACAAGAGCATCAGTGTAAGAGTGAAGACATCACCCTTGCAAGCTAAAGATGTAAAAGGATGGAGGCAAAGCAGAAGAAAAAACAATTCTTAAAGACCGGGGGAAGCATACAAAGGTAGTAGCAGCAAATGGAGTATAGGAAGGCTCTTTGCAAGGGAAGAGGTGACAAAGCTCTGCACGTGCTTTTGGATTAAATGCAAGGGATCCATTTCGTTTGGATGCTACATCAGTCAAGAGATGTCCAACAAGTTTTAAGCCATTATACTGACTCACTGTGTAGGATCACACGTAAATCATCCGAGGCTTTATTTATCAGTTTCCACAGCCTGCTGGAAGAACTTTAGCACCTAATCATTTTCAGATGAGAATTAAGGGATGAAGGAAAGGCAGAAATTGTTAAAGGAAGTCTGCATAATCTTACCTCCATTTCTTCTTTTTAAACTTAAGATATTCAGCCAAGCACTTACAGACACAAGGTTTTCAAACATCATTTGTATACACGACAAAAAACACTCACAGAAATCCTGTAAGATATGGGGATTTGACAAGATGCAAGGCCTTATGCTGCAAGTTTTAAATACGTAAGATGATTGCAGTAAACTTCAACTAGCAATCTGTTATTTTTTTTTTCTCAAGAGTTGACAGATCATCATATTCCCAGCGCTCAACATAAAGTCACAGTGCACTTAGATTGTTTAGTGAATGGTTAGCAGAGTTTTGAAAAGTTTAATCTTGCCTTACAGGTTTTCATGATTTATACAACCTGGCAGCGAGTCTTAACTATGAAGTTCTGATTGAGATACTGTTTAAACTTTCAGTGAGACTTTGAGTGAACATTTTATTGCCTTAGGGACTCTAAAGCAGATTGAAAGACTATACGAAACATTTGCAAATGGCCTCAGGTAATTCTTAATAGGATATATTTCATCTAATAGATTGATTGGCACACCAAGTCCATTCTGAGAGAGTCAGATAAATCAAATATCATACTCTCCTTAATAAAAACTGTAATCAGAGAAGAATCAAACATAAAAAAAAAGACAACCGATCAGCACCTTTGCAAGTTCCAGTTCAACAATTTGTAGCATGAGGCCAAGACCTTGTGCCCAAAGGAACGTCAGATTAATCAGAACTTCACCTTAGGAAGGAAAACGGCATGATTACTATATCAGAGCTCCTTCTAATGCTTGACACATACATCGGGATCTCATATCTCAGCAAAAAAGGAAGTGTTATAACTACTTTTCACTATTCAATCAATTCCATTATTTTTTTCCCTTAGGAAATGCACGTACCACAGCTCTGGTGCTCTGACTAGATTTTTAAACTTTAAGCTATTTGACAGTACAAAAAAAGTAATTTAGAAAAGCAAGCCTGTGAATAGTTTTGAAATGTGCTCCTGCAACTGAAATAATTCTGTTTATTCAAGTTTTTGTTTCTTAAAGATGATCCTAAATACTGAAACAGAATATACCTTACCGGGAAACATTACCGTATCATTTATTTAACTGCTAAAGTATATAATGCTAAAGATTTATATAGCCATCCCTTTATACAGCAGCAAGAATTAATATTAGCTGTAATGAAGGAAAGGGGCAACAACAATCACAGAAAAAAGTCATTATTCACCAGAAGCCATAATTTTAGAAGGATCTTACGTGTTTACTTACATGGCATAAATGTGGGCATAAAAGCTGGAAAGCCTCTATGGAGGTGGTGGTGGGGGGGTAATGTGAACTAATAAATTTTAAGGTTTTGTGTGAGTTGTAGTTGAACATTGAAGTTGCTTTTTCTTTCTGGTATTTACTTTCAACTTTAACCAATTGAGACCATGGTTTTATTAGAATGACTTTTTTGCCTTAAGGTAAGCTATTGATGAGTAAGCTACTAGATTTTGAGCGCTTGCTGATTAAAATACTTGGAGGTGTGTCTTTGCATTTTTAGTGAACAAGAAGTTTTAAAATATTTTGAATGTATTAGTATATTTATCTGTACAGAGTTCATGGTTAGCAGCCAAAGAGCCCCCGAAAACAAAGACCATCCACTATTCAAAGTGTCAAGGAATCATTTGGCTGAAAAGTACTGTGGCTCATCTGTATTAAAGATCAGCATTTCTGGATCCTGGCAGAAGAGATTTATTTTTGTATTTTGCAGTTTTTATAGACAGAGAGAATATTTTGAATATTTCTTTCCTGGCCTTTGACTGTGACCTTGTGATAATGATGCATTTGAAATATTTTAATATGGAAGTATTCATAAATGCAATTTGTTAACAAAGGCTAATTATATAATACATAGTTTTCCCATGGAACACAGACACATGATACAGCCTTGAGGATGCTGATGTGGTCCAAGAGCACCTAGTACTGTAGAGTGTCTCAGTTTTTTGATGTGCAGTCAAAGCAGAATTAAAAATTTCTTAACTCCCCACAAAATTATTAGGAATCTGGAGTTTCAGCTACCTTGAAAAAACATTCCCTTGGCATCCTTAGATGGGAATAAGCTAATACTAACATAGGTTCTTTAAGCTTCAGTTCTTAATATTTATGTGCAGATGAGAGGAATAATTATGTTTCTCCGAAAAACATGCTGTGAGAATTAAATAATGACTAGTCTTAACAAATTCCCACTGTAAAAAACAATGAGGAGTTTTAGGAATATTGAGGATGAGCCTTAATCATGCTTACCTATGTGCCTAACTTTAAGCAGATCAGTAATTCCCTTGAAATAATTGGTAATACTCATGCACTTAAAACTAAGCATGTGTGTAATTGCTCATAGCATTGAAGCCAGTGTTTTAAAACTGGCTTAAATTTAATCCTACGTAAGCTATAGATATTATGACAATAGGTCATCATAGCTCAATTTCTGTATGTTACTTCATCACCTTTAGCAGGCCAAAGGACAGGAATTACTGTGAATACAAGTAATAAAGAGCTTTTTCTTTCCCTGGCTTTGTCTATTTTAATTTAATACCAGATTTTTGTAGTTCTATATAGATGGCATCAATAGAAGAATCAATATGGTAGACAAAATAATCTATTTTTTTAATTGGCTTATACTAGGGAGTGAAGGATGTTGTATTTATGATTTGGGACTTCATTCTCAGTTATAAGAGGAAACATGAATTATTGTACATTCAGATTTCTATGAGCAGGGAGAACGTTATCAATTATGTTAGGGGTGTCTGAAAGAATATAACTGTCCGCGTGCAAATACCGAAAAAAAATCTGAGACACCCTTCATACTCAAGGCCCCTCATGCCAATTTGCATGACGATTAAATAGCTTTCTAATTGCTCTTAAATTATGCCAGTTAAACTGTGATTTCATGCAAATATTAAGCTGTAATGACATGCAGTGAATCATTTACTAAGATTTAGAACTTGGAACAAAGAGAGACAATTAATTCTAATCCTCACATTCAGCTAAATTATGTGTCACTGGGCTTTTATGAATGTGGCCTGATTGCTTTGTTATCATTTATGAATTACACAAAGATTATTTGACACATGGAGAAAACTTGGCAGCGATAACCCTTCTGCAGACATCTGTGTGCACAGCTCTCAGGGATTTCCTTCTGTTGATTTTTAAGGAAAATAAGTATATTGGTGAAAATGATGGATCCTTTCCTCACAGCAAAATTCATAACTTTGGACTTCATGCAATAGAATACAACACAGTTCAGATGGATGAGCACTAAAAAAACACAGCTCTTCCACTTCTCAGAGAAAACACAGTCCGAGCGTGAACAATGTCTTTTGCTTCATTTAAGGATTATAATTAAACAAGCATTTCTGCACTTTCTGTGGAGTAGATGTCTTATGGAGAAGCATTGCTCATGCCAAGAGCAACAGAGCTGAGTTGATGCCTCACGTGGTGTTTCGCATGCCATCTTGCTTTGTGTGTCCTCTCCCTCCAGGAAGGTGAAGTACATTTTACCCTTTGTGGAAGAGGGGAGGAGCAAAACAAACACTGCCAAAGTCTAGTGAGGAAAATGCCTCATTTAAAATACTGCTGTGTGATGACTGCCTGGAAATCATTTCGTTGCTTTTTAAGAGAGATTCACCGGCTACAAACCATTGGACCTTAAAAGTGTGTGACATTTGCCTACTAAATTCAGAATGGAAGGTCAGAAGTTAACCATCATGTCTGAGAACACCCAGAATCAGCATCTAGGTACGTCCCTTGAGTTCCTAATGGCTTTTTTGTATACATACATACGTATGGTAGATACATACTACTGGTACCTACATATGTAGTGCAGATAAGTAATATGTCATTTGATGTGGAATGCCGTATTATATTTTTTCCTTTTTGGAATCACTTATTCTTTTTTCTACTAGGCACGCATGAAGAATTTTCTCATGATGGGAGCCAGAGACTGTGAAACAATACTCCAAGTCTGAGCATAATGATAAAATGCAAGTAAATACAAATATAAACAACAATAGGTGCAGCAGCGTTAAAGGCTTCGAGAATGTTGCTTGATTGTACTGCTGAAAGACAGTGGTGGCTCCCTGTGTAGTTCTTAAAAAGTTCGTGGCAGAGGTTCTTGAACATTAAGTTTGTTGGGTTCAAAATTATTTAAGCATAACATGAAAAGAGATGCGTTCAGACTCAGACACACAATATAAGCCTGCCTGCCTTTGACCTTGAAAAGATGGCTCAGTTTATCCAATTACATTATAGTGGGAAATGTTAAGAGTTTATGTACAGAATAATCAGACAGGGGATTAGATATGCTGCTATTTGTTGCTCACTGTGCGTTCAGAGAGCTCACGGATAGAGCACTTGCGTATGGCAAAGAAATACAATAAGCCAAAAGAGTAGCAGCAAGAGATTGATAACAAGTGCCAGTCAAATGGAAGAAGACTAGGAGAAGGAGATTAACAACAGACCCTAATGTAATTTTCTTTCCTCTTATTAAACTCAGCATTTTATTATGTTCTTCTACAAAGTGCCCACTTTTCTCTTATATAGTCACATGAAGTAAAAATGGGAACTGAACAACTTTTGAAAAGCATATAGTATGCACTTTCACAGAATTAATGAACTTAGAATTTGGAGCTCGGCTTGAAAAAAATGGATGGTCGAAGCTAAACTTTTAAATCCACAGTCTCCTAAATCAAGGTCCATATTTTCCCTAATGTTGCCCCATGCACATTTTCCAGTAACGGGGAAAAATTCTGGAGTGGAGAATATTTTCTATTCACGTATAAGAATGAAAAGAGAAGAAAAATAACATATCCACCTATCTTCGGCACAGTGCTTTGCAGGACTTGGGGAAGCAAACAAAATGGATATGAAAACAGCTGGCTCAAAATGGTAGCATATGAAGGGGTTTGTAGAGGGAATCCACTATTCATTCTTCGTTTGATTCAGAAACAACTCCCATTTAAGAAGTCACATGAAAATGTTCTAATCTCTTATTTCACATCTCACACTCCAGGATATGAATTTGCAAACAGTCATCAAAGATGCAGAACTGCCCCCAAAGTGGTTATGTAGATAAGGCCTCTTTTAACTGCACAGCTTTGTCTCTTTATTAGTCAAATCTGCTCATTTTTGTTCTGACTTTTGAACTGCTCTTATTACAGTAAAGCACGACAGTTTGGACGGAACAAGCTAAATTCTACTCTGTCTCATACACCACCAGTCCCACTGTTTATTAAATTTAAATTAGCCACATCTGCACAGACCCATCACAGGCAGAGAGGTTGTATTTATGACAGAAACATAATTTTAATAACTGAAAGCATAATTTCAAAGCATTGGGGCTAAATATACTACTTAGGGAATAATTTGGCCTGCAGACTCTTCATTACTGATGATGTGCAAGAAGATAAGAACACAGTCTGCCTGTCAGTCTCAGCATCGTTTGCAGAGCTGACAATTAGCGAAATAATCATCATTGTAGGTATAAGATGAATGCATCTGTCACTAAAGTCAATGAAGCACTGATACTTTGCTATCTAGGCTGAATGAGAGGCAACGCGTGATTGATAGCATTGCACCAAGAGCAAGGCAGAAACTGGAACGTGGATCACTGCCTCCTCGGGAAAGATAGGGCTCTAGTACCCCTGTTGTGGCTGATTTCTTGCCCATCGCCTTTCACTTTGTTGCTTTGGCTGCCACCCTTAGCGGGAAGGAACCTTAGCAAGTCTCCCCTTCTCCCTCTCTCTTTTGAGAGCTCATATCCCTCTTTTGCTGGGAAAGAGGAAGCAGCACAGGGGTGTTGTAAGTACATGCTCCTTGGTGCCACAGGACTCGCATGCTCCTCCCTACCTTATCAATACGGATGGGTAGCTGGGCTTCAAGTTGAGCGCTGAAAGATAATTATGGAATCACCATGCCATCTATGAGTCATTTTTCAGAAAATAACTGTCTTTTGGAGATGAAAAGCAATGAATGGTAAAAAATATGGAACCACATCGATATAATGCATCGATGAAACCGTCCTAAGCAAGAAACTGTCAAGAGCGCCTGGGAAGTGTGTTAGTGCTGTGTGTAAGTGTTAACGCCTCATGCTTAGGGCGCTCATTTGTAATTTGGAATTATTTGTAATGACCATTTTACTTCAGAAAGCCTAGAAAAACATTGTTTCTCCTATTTTGTGTGAAAAGATAGGCTTACGTGCCCTGCTCCAGAGAGAGCTGACAGCAAAAAGTGTCAGATGGGTTGGAGTACCTTTCTGAACCCTACACGCCGTATGTAGCTGGAGGTTAGGACTTAACCTTCCCCTTTGAAAGCCCTACGGCTAGAGTAAACAACTAACTTTCTGCTAAAGCTCCTTGCACCTGGGAATGCCTCACTCCCATTCAGTGCACAGGAAATGTCTAGATAATTACCTCAAGATTACAGAAAGCCTATAACTACATCCATCGGCTCCAAATGACCTGCCCACTACAGCGCCACAGAGAGAGACCGGCATGAACACAGGAAGCAGTTCAGTTCTACTAATGCGGTTTTATCTTTTGCTAGAGTCAGCTTGGTTATTTCTACGTGATGCTGCCTTATCCAGAGTAGACACATCAAAATTTTGACTGTGCATTGCTGGTCATTGCAACTGTACCTTGCTTTAGTGGTTTTAGCTCTTAAGCTTTTCGTACATTCAGCATGTTAAAATGTTTCATGCATTTCACCTGTTGATTATTTTAGAATTACCTTAACAAGAGGACTGTGGCACAAAATTAATTTGAATCAAATCCTCCACTACAAGAGCTAACACAATGCTACTCAAGAAACCAGGTATCTTATAAAATTTTGCAAATGGGTTTTAATTGTCCTTTTCATATAATAATACTGTATATCTAAATACAGCATTTCATCCAAGGATCCTTAGTTTCCAGGTTTTAGATTACACAAATAGGTTGCTTTATGATCAAAAAGTGAATCCCAGTGACCAATGAACCACATATGAAAAAACTAGGAGAAATATTTTATTAACTGAAAACAAAATTTATGTTTTTACAATATTTCTAGACATGAGCAAATCGATCAAGTAATAAAAATCTCTCTTCTCAGTCAGAATTTGTTCTCCTAGCTTGCTGGCATCGGTTTTGTCTTAAAGCCAGTTTAGATTAGTCAAATATAGCAAACCATTATCTTTTCAAAATTACGAAAAATCTAAATAATTTTTATTATCACAGCTGTATGAGAGGGAGTAACTCTCTTTTGAAAGAAGAGGATATGCTAGAGGGTTTAAATATATCTTCTTTCTAATTGGATATATCTTTCCATTTCTTTCTTTTTATGATTCTGTTGTCTGTCTTAGAGAACTACGCTTTTATTCCAGTGTGTTGTATGGTATTTGTCCTACAGTTACAATTTTCATTTAAATCTAGGGACATAGGAAGGTATATCATATCATTTTTTTTCTTTGTATGCCTCCTCAGTGTTTTCAAGTTTTTTGTACAAACATATTCTTACGTATTTAAAATATATACTCATAATTAAAAATTTATCTACGTGACAACGATTGCATATGCTGTATTACTGCTCAGAAATACAATGTAAAAAGTCATTAAGGAAAGAAACACTTTGGTATTTTCAGGGGTAGCAGAACTAAATATAAACGTGCTGTCTGAATTTTGAGTTGAAAAAAATCTCTTTTGGTTTTTAACAGGATCCCTCATAAAATGCACAAACTCATGTAACTTTTTTTAATACACAAGTGAATAAACAAGGCACAGAAGAAAGCAACTGCAGACAATATACTGATTGGACTTACGGGTACATGCCATAGTTGGTGGGTCTTTCTCGGCTCGGAAGTACCCTTTCTCACACTGGCAGACAGACGTTGCTTCTACGTGGGTCAGGCTGTGGGGAGGGCACTTCGAACACTTCACATTCCCTGCAAATGCCTTATAAAATCCAGGCCTGCAAGCTGCAAAACAAGAAAACGATGTGTCATTAATAGCAGCAAATCCTGATTTTAAGTAAAATCTGTTCCATGTATTTATAATGCGTCCTCTTTCCTTTCCAGCCTAGATACATGTGGTATTCCAACCATATAATTCCACATAACTTGTATTTTGGCCTATGGGCTTACAAAAAAATTTTCCCTTCTTGGTACCTGCAGTGGGAAACCACTGTAAGAGACAAGCTTGCTGATTTACAGACAGCCCTCACTGCTTCCTGAAACTGTTATCTAGAAAACTTCACTAATACCACTAAACACAAACACATTGTGTATGTATGTTTTATGCTGGTTCCATCTGTCAATAAGGCAAAAGGGTGAGATAATTTATTATCTGTCGAAATTATTTACAGGGCCTCCATATTTGAGCAATGGAGACTTGCAATGTTAATGTGTTTACCTTCATAATACCTTGATGAGGACTGGGATGATGTTCTCCCTGTATGTCTTGGTGGGTTTGACCCGCCCACGGTCCCATGAGAAGCCTCTGACGGAAAGGTCACATCAGCTGGGTCCTCTGCACCCTGGCGGCATGAGAGGCTGAGAAGTGCTGGTATAACCAACCACCTTTGGAGTTGTAGGAAGGAGGTGTCCATATACTCCAGCATAAATACCCGCAAGCCTGAGGCTACTCTTATTTGTGCCAGGGAACAGCCTGGGTAGTAGCTGCCCAGGGGATGGAGGACGTTGAAATGGTCAGAGCCCCCCGTACCCCGGTTACTTGGAGCAGGAGTTCCTGTGGTTCTGGACCAGAGCGCAACCTTTACTGCCTTTCTGCTAGCCTACAAGGCAGAAACACTTCCTTAAAAAAAATCTTACCATAAATCTGTCAGGTTTGCGTTATGAAATATCATTTTAAAACCGTCTTCACACTTCATCACACATGTTTAGACACAAATTTCTTCCTTTCTCCTGCCAGCTACCACATTTACACATGCCAATATGTATACCTTTACTTTCTCTCATTCTTTGCAGTTACTATCTTATGACTTCTCAATCAGAAAACAGAACTGAAACAAACGACAGAGCAGCTAAAACATGTATAGGCTGTACAGACTCATATTCCTTCTGACTCCTCCAGCAGTATGATGGGAGCCATTGCTATAAATATCATTTTCAAGATCCTTGTACCGTTTCTGATTTTGACATATTCAAGCTATCTTATTTATATTGCTACAGGAACTAAGCCGTATTTCCTTCTCTTACCACAGGACAAAATAACACTATTAAAATGAGATCTTCTATAAATAAGGCTACCAAAGAGTATGCATTTTACAGACTCACTGTCAGCTCGTATTAAGTGACTTACTTATTAAAATGTATTAACTTATAGATAACATATCTACAGATCAATTCTGCTTCTGATTCCAAAGGACTTGATACAAAGGCAGTTTCATTAGTAGCTGAGGGTAGAGTGAGAAGATGGGACTGGTAGAGATAGCAGTTAATTACCTATTGGAATTCAGGAGCCAATTTTTCAAATGTAATTTTAAGAGCTTAACTTTGACCCCACATTTGCAGCAGTTCTCCCAGTGTGCTTTTCTGACTTGCTGAACAGATAGTAGGGAGGAATCCTGCCCTGCTGTCACTGAAGTAAAAATGTAAGTATTTCTGGTGTTAGAGATGAGAGAGGTGGGAACAGCAGGGGTTTTCCATTAAAGAGACTACCGGTGGGATACAACTGTGATTATAGTCAGTGGTAATTTTCCACTGATTGGAATGACAGAAGGTTTGGTTCAAGGAAGAGGGCAGTGCTGGAGATACAGACCATAGGCACTGACTCCTCTGAGCTCTGCTGGAAGGAAGGAAGGAAGAGAGGAGGCAAGGGGAAACAGGGGAAGAGCTTTACACATGCCTGCTCCTCTCTTCCTTTCTCATGCCCGAATCCTGCCATGGCTAATCTAAGGATGAATATTAAATACTTGCTTTTTAATTGCTGTCTTTCATACATACGGTGCTATAGAAAGACGTTTGTGATTAAAGAACTGGCAATTCCAATTCACATTTTTAGTCAAAGCAAAATAAATGCTTTTTAAAATCCTCATTGCTCCCAAAATTCCTGTCTGTTAGTTCTCAGATCACTCTTTCTTCTCTTCTGCCACCCAAATGACAAACTACTTGGGATCAAAAGAAACAGAGCACTCACTTTCTAGAGAAATATTTTGCTCACATTTCAAGCAGTTCATTATTTTAAAACAATAATGAAGGAGAAGCTGAAACGAAGATTTATTTCCAATTCTAAAAGTTAATATTTTAGGTTGAAATAGTATTTTTGAATTTATTTTAAGCACTTAGGTTTTGGTTTTGATGTGGTATGTCTTTTAAAAGAAAGCACCTATGTGCTCCAATGAAAAAGGTAAAAAAAAAAAAGAAAAGTGAATAAGGGATCATTTTAGTTCATTTGAAGCCAAATCAAATACCTTTATTCAATAAGGCAGGTATGTACCCCATATGCTAAGGCAGAAGAAGATAGCAGGGAAGCTGTTAATTTTACAAAACTATTGGCAACCCCCATGGCCAAATGTAAAATGAGACAATCATGGTTACTGTGTACTTTAAAATAAAAACTACTCCTTAATAGACAAAATAAGACAACACAAGCTGAGTAACCCCAAATGATCCCACGTTTTGAACCACTCAGCTCTGTAGAATGCTGATTGCCAACATTCAAGGTGAAAGAAAATAAACTGTTAGTCTATAAAAATCAACAAATACCCAACATAAATCTAAAACAGCATTTCAGCTGCTGTACCTAAGTTTAGATGCTACTAACAAATACTATACTTTAATGACAGAATTTCAACTTTAACAGAAACACTTGCTAAGGTTTAACATTTTCCACAGAAAATTTGCGAGCATTAGATTTACTACTCAGGTTTTTTAAAGCTCATTAAGCAAATACTCCAAGTGCTATGATTTAGAAGATGTGTAAGCAGTCTTGGAGATTTGAAGGGTGCTTGTTTAACATATTCCAAGAAAGACAACAAAGAAATATGTGAACAAGATTATTTCAGAGAAAAACAATAAAGGTGTAAAGGCACGTGAAAATTTGTCACATACTTATATTGGATTAGAAGTTAAGTATGCACGCTCAATATTGACTGTTATACTCCAACCTAAATCCCTAAAAACTTCCTCTTGAACATGAAAAACACATAACACCATGTTTTCAGGGCTGTGATTTCTTCCATCTTGTGATGAATTAGACCTTGACAGAGTATGTTCTCTGTCATGCTCATTTAGACCTTGACAGGTACCAGCACAGCTAGAAGAACAGGCTCAAGACCTTCTCCAGCAAAACCATCACTGAAAATAATTAGCCAAAGGTGCCTACCCCTCCCCTTCTGGCTTTTTGATATCATTATGTCAACAACATGATGGGACTGAGCCTATGACTACAGTGGCACAAGCTGAGTACAGCTTTATCCTGCTCATGGTCCACAACAGAACAATATCTATTATGAAGAAAAGAACAAGAAGAATCTCTCCATTTGGCATATCTTCACGAGATTGGCCTTAGGTGTCTTCACGGAGCTTAAGGCTACACAAGATCACTGTCAAGCACAGTTCATACGAGCTCCTATTAAAATTTAAAGGAAAATTGCATAAAAGCATCAATTATATATGCATTCCACTGTAATTTCAAATCTGTGCAATAATTTTTTGTAAAACTGCAGTTTGTAAATGTTCTGGTATGAGACTGCAAATGGCATTACTGCATGTAAATCACTATGCAGGACTTCAGGTTGTCATACCCAATCATCCACCAGCACTAGATGTTGCATTCAATTGTTAGAGACATAAAATCACATGCTATCTAAAATAAGGATTAGGATATGACTCTGCAAAGGGGTGAATCAACAGGCTTACTCATATGCTTAATCTTAGCCAAGTTCCTTAATGAATCAGAATCTTATATTTTGCCTGAATTTGTATTATTTCTACTGTTTGTTCCCCTGTGGGTATTCCAGCCACACAGAACTACTTAGTGCACAAGCTGCCTGATGGCAAAATCAGAAATTTGGAAACTTTCAATCATAAATCAGGTGCGATTTTGTGTTTGGAAAATGAAAAAAAGACATGTGTCCTCTGCAAAATCACCTCCCACGTAAAATACAAGTTAGAAGTCTGTTTCAAATGTTTATATATGGAAAAAGTGTCACTTTGTATGGGTTGATAAATCAGTGTTTTCAAAGTGTTTCTCATTAAAACCTTTTCTGGATTCAGCTAATAATTATTGCATCATTCATTTTCACAAGCTGTTTCTGCATACATTAGTGTAAACTAAAACTTAGCTGTCTGAAAAACCTTCTTATGTGATGACTATTCAAAAAAACCTAAGGTTTGTTTTTGTCTTTGTTAACACACAGCCTTTTTTCTAACTTCTAAATCACTGGTAGACATCTTATTTTCCCTAACTTTAGATAACAGAATTGACTTTGTGAGTTACTAATTGCATGAACTGTATGAGATTTGACTTTCGTAAAGCCTGGGGGAAGATAATATATTGTCTTAATGGTTAAGTAATTAGCAGAGTATTTGAATGAACAATTCAAAGACACTAAAGTTTTCTCCTGTGAAATACCTGAGATTATGCAGAGAAGCACCGATAATTTAATTTGCTTCATAAATGATAACACATCGACAAACGCGTGCAACTGTAACTTTACCAGGATTTGACTGTAAAGTTTCAAAACTATAGAGACTGTGTAATTAATATCATTTTCCTTATTTAATACATAATTTTTAAGTTTTGTTTGTATTATACACAGCTGCCCATGTGAGCTGATCTCAAGCCGTGGCCCCGGTGCTGGGTCTCTGCTGGGGCTCCAGCCCTCACTGCAGCCTGCAGCCTGGCCATTGCGGGGCCATGCCTGACCCCAAGGACCCTCACCAACCCCCAAACCCAACCCATGGGCGCCTGCCTGGCCCAGCCCTGGCCCGGCCCAGCCTCGCGGCCATGTCTG